ATCAGCCCCACACCAGCTCTTCGCGATGATCCCTCTGACCACCTTAGCCCAGCCACTGCGGCTCTGGCCTCAGCTACCACCTCCCCCACCTCGCACGCATCCTCTCACAGTCCGTCATTACCATCGGTTGCCTCGCTGAGTGGCCCTCCAATGCCAGGGAGCCCCCCTTCTCTGGAGGCCCCCTCGCCTCCTTCAGCACAGACCCCACCCTCAACCCCTCTGAGGGTTTCTCACTCCCAGTGGACGGTGGGGGTGCGGACGTTTGTGGTCGACTCCCCCAGTTTCAGCGCGAACATCTCCCCTGCTCCCGCTCGCCCCTCAGGCCTATCCAGGCACTGCACTCCACACACTCACACCCCTCCTCTCTCCCCCACTACCAGGCCCACCCAGCCAGGATCTGCTCCCTCCTCTCCCTATCGGTCCCCTGGTCTGGGTCTCAGACGGTCCACGTGGAGCCCCTCACCTCGAACTCGTCCCGTGCCCAGCATGACACGCTCATCCGTCCTTTACACTCCCTCCTCATCCTCCCCTTACTCCTTCCCTTACTCCCCATCTTCTTCCCACAGCTATTCATCTGCCTATTACAGCTCCCCTTCTGCTTTTACCCCCTCTAGCTCCTACCTCACCTCTGGCACCTCCACCTCCTACAGCCATTCCTCCCACTACACGCCCCTCTACCCCAGATTCTACAGCTCCTACAGGCCCCGGGAATGACGCTGTACTGCAAGTCTGTCAAAGGCTACTGCACTGAGCTCCCCGTTTCTAACAAACTGCAGCCCCCATAACACTTCTCTTTTATCACCTAAGAGGGGGCTCACAGAAAGGAGGACAGACTGGTTTCCTGTGCCTAAGCCGTGGCCAGTGGGTTCTGAATGTTCAGTGACTTTGCTCAGGGATTATATGGAGCACAAACGTCCCCGCCTTCTTTTATTCTGAGACTGCTGACTGGTTCACACTTGGATGGACATTAACTAAGACTTTTCCAAATTTTTTATGATTTATGATGAATCATTTGACTACACATTACTGGACACTTACATTTTATGATTGGGCTCATTTGACACATGAAACACTTTACTCTTATTCATGTTTAATTACTCACATTTATTTTTATGTCTGTCTCATATCCTCTAAACCTACACATTTTTATTCACAGGAGGACATTAACGAAGACTTTCCAAAGTTTTTAGCATTTAGATGAATCAGGTTGACTACACATTGACTGGACACTTACATGTTTAGATGGGGCTCATGACACATGAAACACTGTACTCTGTATTCAGTTTAATACTCACATTGATTGGTAGTCTGTCTCATATCCTCTAAACCGACACATTTTTGACACAGAGGAAGCAGTGTTTTTGCTGTGGGTCCTCTGTCCTAGACCACGGTGAAAATCCTGATGGCACAGATAATGATGCATAGCTTGGGCACTCAGTTACTCTCGTGGAGCCCACAGGTTGTGTGGACAATTGTCTACAGCTGCTCGTTTTCATTTCCTTCCCTCGCTGCAGGCCAGTGTACATTCTTGGGACACTCCTCCCGTTGTGGTCTTCTTTGTCCAGGGTGTTGCCATAATAAAGCTCATCCCTCAGTATTTTTTGTTCATCTCTAGCAACACCCAGTGTTCTTTTTTTATATATAGCCATACACTCAGCTATGCATGTTCACTGTCCCTCCGCTTGCCTTTGAAAGGTCTGTGTAATTGCAGTTGAAGGCTGTTTGGAAGGTTTGGGATGGAGAAAATCTTTTAAGATGAACAGGAAGCTGGGATGAGGGACCTTAAACTGTATGATCACCGTATGATCAGTTGATACTATAGTATACCAACCGTACCATCTCATCTCATGTGTTCTTGTAGCCAACACACAGTTTTCTGGTTACGTTTTTTCCCCAAAGATTAGAGTTTTCGTTAAAAGGAAGAAAAAGTTTAATAATTTTATTAGTTGAAGACGCCACACATTTCTGATTTTTCTTTTCTGCGCAGTACTCAAGGCTGCGTCAGGCTCTCCAACTCATCAAATTTCAGATTTGCCTGAAACGATTCAAAGGGAAAGATACACTTCTGTGTGTTTCTTTTTGTCCATTTTTGGTCATTTTAGTAAAAGTCATCACATTTTGTGGCAAAAGAACGAAATGAAGGATGTTTTTCCTGCTGTGAAATGTCAAAACTGCTCAAATTTGACCTGAACAGTATGTGAGGGTTAAACAATATGAATTATGTGCCTTGTATACGAGAAATGTACAGAATACAGCAGCCCCCACCTTCAACACTGTGCTCTCTACAGGCCTCTAAATCTGATAGCAGAGACTGGACATCCAAATATTTTAGATTTTTCAAGGATCCATCATTCCAAGACCTATTTATAGTCTTTACCAGATATTTACCCTAAAAATGAATAACCTAGCTTAAGTTAATCAGTGTTCATTCCTTTAAGGATTTTTTTGAGGAAATCCTTTTCTCTGCATATTCTTTTTAAGAAGCGCTGACCCATGAACATAATCACAGAACACACTGCATGTATGGCATGGATATATAGGGAAGAGCACATTAGCTATTAACACATTAGTTAGTAGATCACTGTGTTGTTTTCTTGGAAAGCTACCATATCCTCCAGAACCATCATTGAATTCTTTCATGTATTTATTTTCCCTAAAATCACTTTTTCTGTAATATGCTGTCATAGGCACTGAGAGGAAGTGATTAAGCATTACTCTGACTCACTCCTGTCATGGTAGACTTGGTTGTAATGGCATGCCAACAGTGTAGCATCTGTAAAAGAATGAATGATTTCAGCATAGCTGAGGGCTCACCTCACCAAAGTTAGTGAACCTGACATATGTTATTCAGCCTGGCACGAGTCATCCTGGAGCTGGATGACCTGTAGCATCATGGTGTGGTTTGAACTGGGAGAAGAGACTGGCTAAACCGAGTGAGTGAGTGAACTTAAAGGAAGAGTGAAAAGAAATGCGCTTGTTAATCAAGGTTGATATCTGTTTTGAAACTGGCCTCTTGTGTAACCACTTCTTGATTGACAGATGATGTGAAGCTTCTTGTGATGTGAGTCTACTGACAGTTATTTTGAAAGATGCTTGATGGGCCTTAAAAATTCTGTTACACCTGATATCTCAGCAGGAACCAGCTGCACGGTACTTACAGTTTAGCCTGCTCTGGCAGATTGCCTTCACCTGGACACAAACAGATAATGTGCTTCCTTTTACATGTTACTCCTCCTGTACCTCAGGCTAAAATGCTGTTCTTTATGTATTTGTCTTTGGCTTGGATTACTTTTAGTCATAATACTTTTTTTTGGTCTGGATACTGTTCGGGAAAAAAATCTGGAGCCAAAATGATCAACTTTGTGTGGCCTGTCACTTGCTTTTTAGATTTAATTGATACTAAAAACAGTCAGAAACATAAATAAATAAATAAACGATTTGTTTGTTGCAGTGCCATTCATTGACAAAGCGCAGAGCCAAATAAACCAAGGAGCACCCCTGGGGTGTCAGGCCTTCAGCGCACGCACCAGCAGACTCCCTTCTTTGGAGTGAGGATGTCTGAGTCCTCGTGTCTTTGTTACTTAACCATAACGTACAACAAAATGTGTCGTGCACTAGCATACACACTGAGTATTCACACGCTCGTTAGACTGACTCACAGTCACAGCTTGGCCTTCTACAGACACCTGCCCTCCGCATTGTTAGTCTTCTGCCCATTAACTGTATGACAGCCTCCCTGTAAGGCCAGTTTACTGTGCTGGGTTTAGCATACAGGGCTTACAAAATAGAGACACAGCTTCCTCGGGTCAGGGCACAGGGTCACACAGAGGTCACTCACTAAGGCACACAATAACAGTAATGTTTCCACACTGGTTACATGTAGCAGATTAAGAGAATGTCAAATCTTATCCACTGCGGTCCTTTCATTTCAAACACATTCACATTGTCCTGATCTAGAACAGTCATACTGCATTTCCTTCTCCACAAGCGTTCAGTTAGTTCATTACAGAAGTCATTTAATACATAAATATGTTTAGCTACTGTAAGCTGGGAAAAAGCAGACAAAAAATATGATTTCTTACTCGTGTTTGTAGGGCTGTGTGCCAAATTATGCTCCAGGAGACAACTGTGTAGAAGATCACAGCAGAACAATACTTGTACTGTTTTGTAGTCATGATGAATACTACAATTTGATTTCAGTGCAGAAGTGAACTAAGTGAAGGCTACAGGAAACCGGGAAAGCCAACAGTATTGTCAGCAACACTGCAGGTTTATCACTCAGAGACATATTTACCGCGTCATACAGTATATCGCTTTAGTTACATCGGTGAAGCCAAAGAGGACACATGTTGTCCGAGTTAAAGTTAAAAACACCTTCCCACTTTAACCCGACTGTGGTACACGTCCTCTCTTTTTATGCAACATCCTCCGGTGATTATTAAACACGCAGGACTGCCTTTCTAGTGATTATTTTCAAATGGGCTTGATGTTTGAAGGCTCGCAGTGACAAAGTAACTCGACCCAAATCCGTTAAAGCAAACATAACGTTTTCTGTTTAGAAAATGTAAGAAGTAGAAAGTACAGATATTTGTTTAAAAACGTAGGGAGTAAAAGTAAAAAGTAGTCGAAAATGAAACTACTCGAGTAAAGAACAGATACCTGAAAATTGTACTTAAATACAGTAACAAAATATTTGTACTTTGTTACTTCCCACCCAGAAAGACAAGTTACAGTGATGGGCAGCATGGCTGTCTGCGGTCACAAAATCTGTCTTGGCATTTGCGGTCCAGATGATTGCTCAAAGACATATATATTTCAGCACTTTCTCAAAGAAAGTGCTCAAAGAGAGATAGATATCTATAGAGATAGATAGATATCTATACACACACACACAGTTTTGAAACAGTTATTCTTGTTAATCACGTTGTTACAGTTGTTGTTTTGTTAGTTCTTAGCTGCACTGCACACATGTAGCAAAAAGCTACACTTCGACCATTAGCCACTGCTAATAGCTAAAGTAGCCGTTCACTTTACTTGAATCCTTTACTTGCTCCCTTTCTGATTACTTTCTTCATCTATTTTCTCTCCTTGTTAATTTCACCTCTCACTTTCTCATCCTCACAGTGGCCTTTCAATTATGCCAGACTACCAGTCCAGTCCTATTCATACCAGTTTTTTGTTTATATATATTTTTTTACAGTTGTTTCTCAAAAATCCTCCAATTTTGATTTTGAAGTAAGTTCTGAGCTTTCTTTTCCCCCAAAACGGATCCTTGTCAGGAGTTGATATTTTATAAATGTTCAGGAACTTCACAATAAGTAGTCCAATTTTCTGTTCAGTTTTTTACAGAGGAAATTTAAGACATTCATACTTGTGAATTATTAGAACCCTGATTTAGTCAATTAGTCTTTCTGGATGTTGTGGAAATCCAACTTAGATTATTTGCTGGAGGGATTTTTACCCCTCTTGAAAGAAATCCGATGAATAATTGGTGGAAATGGTTGGTTGTTGTCATGTTTCCCTAAAAGGTCCAGGGGATGTGGAAAAGCAACAAAATGTGGTTTAAAAAAAGAAGATGTGAAGGCAACATGGTTAGATTAAATATTCTTATTAATCTGTTCTAACTAATCAAGCTTAAAGAGACAAGTCGCCATCGCCTTTAGAAGAATGGAAACACAACAAGGCTCTGTAGTCGGTGACTAAATATAAAAGTAAGTCAAAAAGTGCTACCAGAACAGGATTAAACAGCTACCACACACAGGTCCCTGGCTGCAAACCAACAAGACTCTCTGGCACTAGAGCGCCCTTTCTCCAGCCTTGAAATCTCCGCCTTAATTGCTTAGTAAAGTTGGCTGGGGAAAGGACAACACCTAAGGCAGGAGAAATCAAAATCCCTACAGACCCTACTAGGGTCATAACAGGTGGTATAAATGGAGGTCTCTCTGAAACCTGTGGGAGTCCCTCTTACCATGA